AAGAAGTTTCCTGTATGTTAAATGACAGTGCTAGCTGTAGTCATCATGTTATACATTACATCCCTAGTACTTATTTATCTTATAACTGGAAGTTTATACCTTTTGACTACTTTCCTCCAATTCCCCCACCCTCTGCCTTTGGTAACCCCAAATCTTTTCCCTTTTTCTATGAGTTTCTTTTTTGTTTTAGATTTTTGTTTTTGTTTTAGTTTCCACATATAAGTGAGATCACTCAATAATTGTCTTTCTCTGACTTATTTCACTTAGCATGTCTTCAAGGTCTATCTCTTTTATTGCAAATGGTGGGGTTCCATCATTTCTTTTTTTTAGTATTTGCACTGCTGAAGTGAACATTCATCATTTATTTTTATGACTGAGTAATATTCCATTGTAAATATACACCAAGACATCTTTACCCATTCACTCACTGATGAAAACTTAAGTTGTTTCTTTGTGTTGACTATCGTGAGTAATGCTGCTACAAACATGGGGATGCAGATATCTTTGCAAATTAGTGTTTTCATTTCCTTTGGATATATTCTCAGAAGTGGAATTGCTGAATCATACAGTAATTCTATTTTTAATTTTAAAGGATTCTCCATACTGTTTTCCGCAGTGATCGTATCAATTTACAATCTAACCAACAGTGCACAGGTGTTCCCTTTTCTCCACATTCATGCCAACATTTGTTACCTCTTGTCTTTTTGATGATGGCCATTCTAACACACATGAAATGATATCTCATTATGATTTTAATTAGGGTGTTACTAATGACTAGTGAAACTGAACATTTTTTTTCATGTATGTCTTGGTATTTTGTATGTCTTCTTTGGAGAAATGTCTGTTTAGGTTCTATGACCATTTTTAGTTAGGTTATTTGGGAGGGGGGTTGCTTGTTTGTTTTGATACTGAGTTGTGTGAGTTCTTATCTATTTTGGATATTATTCTCTTATCAGATATATGGCTTGCAGATTTTTTTCCCATTGCATAGGTTGTCATTTCACTTTGTTGGTGCTTTCTTTTGCTTTGCAGAAGCTTCTTAGCTTGATATAGTCTCACTTGTTTTTTATTTTGTTATTTGTGCTTTAAGTGTCATCCAAAAAATCATAACCAAGACCCATGTTAAGGAGATTTATTCCTGTTTTCTTTTAGGAGTTTCTTACACTTAAGTTCTTAATTCATTTTAAGTTCTTTTTTGTGAGTGGTATAGGATATGCATCCAGTTTCATTCTTTTTTTTTAAGATTTTATTTATTTGACAGAGAGAGAGAAATCACAAGTAGGCAGAGAGGCAGGCAGAGAGAGAGGGGGAAACAGGCTTCCTGCTGAGCAGAGAACACAATGTGGGGCTTGATCCCAGGACCCTGAGTTCACGACCTGAGCCGAAGGCAGAGGTCCAACCCACTGAGCCATCCAGGCTCCCCCAGTTTCATTCTTTTACCTGTGAAAATCCAGTTATTCTGGCAGCATTTTTTGAAAAGATGGTCTTTTCTCCATTGAATGTTCTTGACTCCCTTGTCAAATATTAGTTGAGCATATATGTCTGGGTTTATTTCAGGGCTTTCAATTCTGTCCCATTAATCTATTTGTTTTTATATCAGCACCATACTGTTTTGATGACTGTAACTTTATAGTATAGCTTGAAATCAGGAAGTATGTTGCCTCCTGCTTTGTTCTTCTTTCTCAGGCTATTGGGGGTCTTTTGTGGTACCGTATAAATTTTAGGAGTGTTTTTTTCTACTTCTGTAAAAAAAAAATGCCATTGGAATCTTCATAGGGATTCCATTGAATTTATAGATGGCTTTTGGTAGTATTGATATTTTTAACAGTATAAATTATTCCTATCTATGAACATGAATACTTTCCCATTTGTTTGTATCCTATCAGACTGGGGCCCCACTCTAATGACTTATTTAATCTTAATTGCTTTCTTAAATACCGTATCTCCAAATACAGTCATATTGGAGTTTAGAACTTCAACATATGCATGACAGAGGGGCACAGTTCAGTCCATAATAACTTATGAGAGGGAAATAGTTTTAAATAGTTTTTTTAATTGGGATATAATTCACATACTTTAATATTTACACTAGTGAGGTGTATGATTGCATGATTTTTGGTATATTCACAAAGATGTAAACTATCACCACTATCTCGTTCCAGAATTTTTTCAACAGCTCACCAACCCCCCATCTATTAGCAATCATTTTTCGACTCCCAATGGACAAGTCCCTGATAACAACTGATCTTCCTTTACAGCTTGATGTATTATGCACATTTCATATAAATAGGATCATTAAACATTCTTTATTGTGTGTAACTTTTTTCACTAAGCACATATTCAAGGTTAACCCTCCAATGAATCAGTACTTCATTTTTTAAAGGTTTTATTTATTTATTTTAGAGAAAGCACAAGCAAGGAGAGGGGCAGAGGAAGTAGATTCCCTGCTGAGCAGAGAACCCAATGTGGGGCTTGATCCCAGGACCTGGGATCATGACCTGAGCAGAAAGCAGACGTTCAACTGACCGAGGCATCCAAGCACCCCTCAGTACTTCATTTTTTAGTTGCAGGATAATATTCTATTTTATAAATATATCACATTTTATTTAAATGTCCATTAGTTGCTGGATATTTGGATTATTTCTACAATTTGGCTATTATGAATAATGCTGCTATGAACATTTTTGTGCAAGTGTGTAAATATGTTTTAATCTCTCTTGGTACTTACCTAGGAGTGGAATTTCTCTGTCATAAGCCCAGTCTTTTAAAGACCAGTTTTGGTGATGTCAGGCTAAGGGTGACATCATAGTTAAAGATACTCATGGCTCTGTAGCTTATAAGACTATGTGTACTTAAAGGGGTACATGCACCCCCAATGTTTGTAGCAGCATTATCAACAATACCAAAATTATGGGGGCGCCTGGGTGGCTCAGTGGGTTAAGCCGCTGCCTTCGGCTCGGGTCATGATCTCAGGGTCCTGGGATCGAGCCCCGCATCGGGCTCTCTGCTCAGCGGGGAGCCTGCTTCCTCCTCTCTGCCTGCTTGTGATCTCTCTCTGTCAAATAAATAAATAAAATCTTTAAAAAAAAAAAAAACAATACCAAAATTATGGAAACAGCTCAAATGTCCATTGACTGATGAATGAATAAAGAAGATGTGGTATATATAAACAATGGAATATTACTCAGCCATCAAAAAGAATGAAATCCTACCATTTGCAATGATGTGGATGGACCTAGAGTATATTACTTTTTTAAAGATTTTATTTACTTATTTGACAGAGAGATCACAAGTAGGCAGAGAGGCAGGCAGAGAGAGGAGGAAGCAGACTCCCTGCTGAGCAGAGAGCCCGACGTGGGGCTCGATCCCAGGATGCCGAGATCATGACCCGAGCCGAAGGCAGAGGCTCAACCCACTGAGCCACCCAGGCGCCCCTAGAGTATATTACTTTAAGCGAAATGAATCAGTCAGAGAAATACAAATACCACATGATTTCACTCATATGTGGAATTTGAGAAACAAAACAGATGAACACATAGTAAGGGGGAATATCAAAGAGGCAAATAAACCATAAGAGACTCCTAATGATAGAGAACAAACTGAAGGGTGATGGAGGGAGGTAGTTGAGGGATGGGCTAGATGAGTGGTGGGTATTAAGGAGGGCACTTGTTATGATGAGCACTGGGTGTTGTATATAAGTGATGAATCACTGAATTCTCCTGAAACCACAATTGCACAGTATGTTAACTCACTAGAATGTAAATAAAAATAGAAGACTATGTGTGCTTAAAGAGGTGAGATTGTCAGAATGGAGGGGACTGTACAGTTCTTAGATCCAAGTAGATGGGGGTCAGGCCCTGTGCCTCAGGAGGGCTCATACTATGCAATACCAATTTTTTTTTTTTAATGTTACCCTCTCCTGCCTGAGTTTGGTCATTACTGGTAGTGAGTGTTGTCCAGTTGGGGTGCCTAGAGCTGGGATCTGGGCCCATGTGTGTCCAATCTTGTTTCTCCTTTTGGGGTTGTCTCAGGCCTTTATACCATCTGAGTGGTCTACCAAATATCTCAGGAAATGCCAAGATTGATGCCCACAAGGTTCTCTTGAGGGCCCTTGGCTATTCCCATTAAAGGCTCTTCTCTGTGGCACAGTGTTTCTTCAGGCCATTACATGATAGTGTACTGACAGAATGGAGGTGACTTACGGATTTTGGGAGATTCAGACTCATGTGGGAGAGGTAATAAAGCATCAGCCAAATTACCATACCTCTCCTGGGCCCATGAATTTTGTAATACAGTTTTAAATTAAAGTTTTTATCCACAGTTCTGCTGTGTAGGTTTCCAAATGTACAGCTTTATTTATTTATTTATTTATTTATTTATTTATTTATTTATTTGACAGAGAGAGACACAGCAAGAGAGGGGACACAAGCAGGGTGAGTGGGAGAGGGAGAAGCCAGCTTCCTGCTGAGCAGAGAGCCAGATGGTCTCTACCCGAGAACCCTGGGATCATGACCTCAGCTGACGCCCAAGGACTAAGCTACCCAGGCACCCAGATGTGCATTCTTCTGAGGATCTTAAGTTCATCACTGCAGTTTGAACAAAACTTTCCAATCATATATGAGCTAGGTTGACTGTTACAGTAGAGACAAAACTAATAGCAGCTTAAGTAACAATATTTTCTGATGCCGGACTCCTGAAAGTTAAACTCTAGCCCCAGTGTGGAAATGCACGTTATCGCCCAAGAACTAGACAACACGAACTTAGCCCCATTGCCATTGTGGAATCTATAGCACCCCATCTCCCAAAAATCGCAAGCACTTCCGGCCAAGGAGGATGGGAATGGCGCTGGTGTTCTCCGGATTTCTGGGAAATGTAGTCCGTCAGTTATGTAGAGACTCGGCTACTTCCGCAAGGCGGCCGGGAAAGAGGAATTCTGGGTAGTAGAGCTCCGGCGCAGCCTGGGGGCGGGACGGTCTCGGGCACTTCCGCTCAGGTGGCCAGGTTGTCGCGGCTTCCGTTGCGGGCTTTCCTGTGGCTGTGGTGAGTGGGTTCTGGATTCGGAACCCTCCTGAACTTCCCTGGGTGCCAGTACCACTGGTCATTGTTTTGGGTTAAGAGCTCCGCGCGAGAGAGGGGGCTTGAGGGCTGGAGAGGCGTTCCCTCCAGGAACCCTCTTGGCGTTTGGGGCGGTTGAGCAGCGTATGGCCTGGTGGAGGGTTTCCCGGGCTCTCCGCCTGCAGTCCTGGCTCCCCAGGTCGCACACCTTTCCCTCCCCCTGCCCTTTTCGCGCGGTTGAACATTGGGCCACTTACTTAAATTTCCCTGGCTCTAGTGGGGGCGTGTGTGTGTGTGTTTGTGTGTTTATAGTTGATGTTGTTTTCTATAAAATTGGGATGACATTCCTACCTTCCTATACTCCAGTGGTTTGAGAATCAAACGAGATGGTATGAATAAAAGTCTTAAGGACAGTTCCTGCCCCCGTGGTGAATAGTGGTCTCTTGGTATTAGACTCTTGAATTTTGTTAAGTGCTTAGTAACCAGACAGCCACCAATATCGTAGCTGCAAGAAGTCCTGGCACTTCTTTTTGATCCCTCTAGGAAGCTTGATCGTCCCGAACCCCTTCTGAGGTTACTCCTGCGAAAATTAATAAAAGGAAACCAGCTTTAGAGTGGAGTCAGAGGCTGGCAGGGGAAAGCCCTCCTACCCTACCCTAACTCTTGTCAGTTGCGGACCCACTTGGAAGAGACCACCTGATACTATTTTGGCTATTAGTTACTATCCCAGAGGGAGGAAGAACGACTTTCCTGCCCCTGCGTCAGCCCAGCCAATGAGAAATTGTCAAAACTCAGCCAATGAAGAGCGACTATACTTCCAAGCCGCAGTTTACTCCATTGGACTTTTTTGTTTAGGACAGCGTTCTCAATTTCTCCCTTTCCCCTGTAAGGGAGGGTTTTTCTCCTTTGTTCTGTGGACTTGCTTGTGGTTTTGCCATATCTTGCTTGTTCTGGTTTGCAGTTCTCTGCTGTTCCAGTAAAACAACTGGCAGTTTTATTTTGAAGGTTAAGCCTCCCAAACCATTTCCAGCGGGAAAGGAGGAGAGGCGGAGTGGGGACAGAATATTTCCGATTTCTCAGGGACAAAGACAGAATTATGGTATTTCAGAGCCTCCTTTCTTTCCTTGGCCTTTATCTCAAAAAAGACTGCATTTCTTGTTGCACTATTGTCAATAAGTAGTTATGTCTGAAAATTGCTGATATTCTTGCAATTTTTATGAGTTGAAAACACCAAGGCCTCGCTGCTGCCAACTGTCAACTGTTCTTGCATTTTTTTCCTTCACACATCCCTTTTTTTCCCCCAAAGAATTAGAGATTGTGCTGTAGACGATACCTCTTTTACCCTAAATGTTTGCATTGTTAAAAAAATTGAGTAAATTTTAAGACTTAATTGACTTTATTAAATGATTCATAAACTGGGCAGCATCCCGTAAAGCAAGTAGAAGGCAGCTCCCAGGAGTTGTACAAAATGGAAGGTTTTTGTAGGAAGGAGGATGGGGCAAGGAAGTTATTATTAGCAAGAGGAAAGAAAGGATTGTTTGAGGCAAGGTCACTTTCCCTTGGAGGAAAAAGCAAGGGATCTTATGCAGATTACCTCATCTTGAAGGCGTGGAGAAGGCCTGGGTGTTAGATTAACTTCATAGGTGCTTATCAGGAAATTCCTGAGTGACTGGTTAAGACCGTGTTTCTGGGGGGAGGTTGAAATTGCAATTAGGTTAGGCATTAAGCTGTGGTGGGTGATTTGGCCTAAGTAATGCCTTTTTAGTCCTGCGTTTTTCCTTTAAACAGTGTTTACTTTCTAGGAATCAGGATAATCTCTTCTATAATCACAGTATCTAGATCAAAGTCAGAAAATTACATTGTTAATCTGCTGTTATCTGACCCTCAGTCCAAACTTAAATGTGTTCTGTTTTTCATTTAAAATCCTTATATCTGGGGGCGCCTGGGTGGCTCAGCAGGTTAAAGCCTCTGCCTTCCGCTCAGGTCATGATGGGATGGAGCCCCGAGTTGGGCTCTCTGCTCAGCAGGGAGCCTGCTTCCTCCTCTCTCTCTCTCTGCCTGCCTCTCCGCCTACTTGTGATCTCTGTGTGTCAAATAAATAAATAAAATCTTTTAAAAAAATAACTAAAAAAAAAATAAAATCCTTATATCTGTTTCCCCCAATTAAAGCCATTTTTGTGGGCTGCCTTTTGCTGTCATGTTTTCTGTTGTGTCCTTTAATCTGAAATGATTCCTCCTCCTTCATTATTTTGTTTGTGATATTTTTGTTCATGATGTGGAGGCAGGAAATATCAGAGAAAGTCCATCTTTTTGAATTTTATGTGATAGACCTCACAGTTTGCGGATTATGCGTTGTTGGCTGCAATTCCACAGAGCTGGTGAGATGGCCTTTTTAGTCAGCATAACAAGAGCTGAAGGACGTATTTTGGTTCTTATATTGGTGATGCCAATTTTGTTCACTTAGCAAAGGAGAGCTCTGTGCCATTTTACCACCGAAGTCACTGTTTCTTTTTGTGATTAAGGTTTCCTATGGGCAGACATGTTTTATTAGTGGGCTTTCTGTTGTATAGATCACATCTGCTTTCCTCCTGCTTCTTTTTTCATTCCTTCAAATATAAATTATATACAGACTCTGAGTCCAGGTTTGTTAATTTAAATGAGATGTTGTTTATCAGATGATGCTCTGTTTTACATTTCAAAATTTTCCCTTTGCGTGTGCGCAGTTGAGTGATTTTTGTAACATTGAGTGGTGCAGCTGTCACCATAATTCAATTTTAGAACATTTCCATTCTTACAGTAAGACCCCTTGTTACCGTTTATAGTTAATCCGTGTTCTCAACAACCCCAGACAACCACTAACTTCTTTTCTGTCTCTATATTATGAACCCTTTATTTAAATGGCATCATACAAGATGTGGTCTTTTGTGACTGGCTTTGTTCACTTCTGTTATTTTCAAGGTTCATCCTTGTTGTACACATCATAATTTTATTCCTTTTTATTGCCCATTAGTATTTCGGTGTGGACATACCACACTTTGTCCATTCACCCATGGGTGGACATCTTGGTTTCCAGTATGGGGTTCTTATAAATAACAGTTTTATAAATACATTAAGTACTCGTTTTTGTTTGGAGATATGTTTTCATTTCTCTTGGGTAGATACCAAGGAGTAGAATTGCTTGGCTGACTGGTAGCTTCTGGTTTAACTTTTTGACAGACTGCCAAAACTTCCAGATTGGCTTCATCATACTGGCCCCATCCACCCTGCCCCCAGAATCTTGTGTTTCATAGTAGATACTAGAAACCAATGTCGTTATTGTTGGGGAAAGTGGCTGTCCACCACAATTTAAAAATTACCGCTAAGGTAACACAGTATGAGGGAAGACAGGGAGGCAGAGTTGACTGGTTTGTCAGAGGTTCAGTCAGGTACCCTGCGATGTCTTTTGGTAGAAATCACATGTATAAGAGCAATTTCATACTGCAGAGTGTCATTTTTTTTTTTTACCAGAGCTACAAAAATGAGAAATTCTGAGTGTATTCAAAGTGTTGTCCAGCTCTCAGCAGTTCCATGAGTTGGAAATATTATTGTCCCGGTTGTACAGATAGCAAAATTGAGGAAAAGAGGTGTTATTAATTTGCCCAAGATGATAAAATTAGTGAGAGACGGAAGTAGGATTTGAACCCAGATATATTTGCCCCAGAGAGATAATTATTGCTCGACTCATTATGTTGTCTCAGTTTCCATCATACCAGCATTTGAACTGCTACCTTGGGAGCCACAAGATAGCACAAGGCAACACACAGCAACAGTGTGTGTGTTGTGTAGGAATGAAGTAGCCACGCCATGATGGGCTCCTCGTGCTGTGGACAGCAGCAGCCACTGGAAGGAAGGGGCTCCTTGGCTAATTCACAATAAGCATTCATGTAGGCGAGCATTATCCCTGGGCACGCGTTCATGTCCTTTTCTGCCTTTCCAGACACAACCAGGCACAGGTCTGCCTTGCCAGGACTCCGTATTCTGGGAATCTGTACCTCTCCAGAAGTAGGAAGACAAAATGACCACATTCAAGGTGCATATGGCTTGCCTTTCTTGCTGTTAAAATTCCATTTCACTACTCAAAATGTTACATGTTGGGGCACCTGAGTGGCTTGGTTGGCTAAGTGTTCGACTCTTTGATTTCAGCTCAGGTCATGATCTCAGGGTCCTGAGATTGATCCCTGCCTTGGACATGTGCTCAGCCAGGAGCCTCCTTAGGAGTCTCTCTTTCCCTCTCTGCTCGCTCTCTCTCTCAAAAAAAAAAAAAAAAAAAGTTATGTATTTTTTTCATTTCTTGGGGTGACTCAGGGAGAACAGCAGGCTAAATGACCTGTTTATTCTGTATTTGTTTTTAGCATTTGTCTTATTTTGTCATTCATTTTATTAAAAAAAAAAAGGTGTGTGATGAGCACTGGGTGTTATACACACCTAGTGAATCATTGAGCACTACATCAAAAACTAATGATGTATTATATGTTGGCTAATTGAACATAAATATATATATATATATATATATATATATATATGTAAAACTAAATGTGGACTAATTAATAGGAATGCCCAGTTTTCCTGCTTGCTTCACCACTGACATCAACTATTTTTATTTTCTCGTACTCTTTCTCGTGTATATTCACATTTATTAATATTCATGATATACATCTAATATTGACTTGTGCTTCTTCATTTAACATTATAGAACATTTGTTATTTGTGATTATATCACATTCCTATTAAATTGATATGATTTTTAATTTTTAACTACCTGCTGCTGCTACACATTAAGGTGGCTTAGGAGTCTGTTTGAAGCAATACTGAGGTGATAATTTTCCTACCTGCAGTCTTTTTCTGCAAAAAAAATCACTTCTCCAAATAAGCTATTTTTTCTCCTCAGTGTACCAGGAGCTCAATAATGAAAAAGTATATTTGACACATGCAGCGTTAGAGTTCTGTAGATAGAATATTCAAATACGGCACATAGACTCTTAATCTCACAAAACAAACTGAGGGTTGCCAGGGGGAGCTGGGTAGGGAGAGGGTGGTGGGTTATGGACATTGGGGAGGGTATGTATTATGGTGAGTGCTGTGAAGTGTAAACCTGGCAATTCACACACCTGAACCCAGGAGCTAATAATACGTTATATGTTAATAAAAAATAAAAATTTTTAAAAAATAAAATCTCTAAAAAGAATATTCAAATATGGCACAGCGCAGTAGGCTCTAACTGCCACTTTATGCAAATCTCGGAGATTTTCATACAGGAGGAGCAGGATTCTTTCTGTCTTATGTCCAAGTCATACCCTGCATGTCACTTAACTGATCTGCTTTTATTCCATCATGTATTAGTTTTTTCAAAGTAACGTGTAACCTCAGGTTTGTGTGTATGTGCATACACATAGACTTTATTTTTTAGGGCAGTTAAACATTCACAGTCAAATCCAGAAAGTACAGAGATTTCCCACCCTGCCCCCACACACCCACAAACTCTCCCATCGTCAACCTCCACCATCAGAGGAGTACACCTTTTACAGTGGGTGAACCTCTCTCCGTGCGTCATTATCACACAGAGTCCATAGATTACTGTAGGATTCACTCTTGATGTTTTTGTTTTCCGCTGGTTTGGACAAATTTGTAATGATGTGGCCCCACCATTATAGTACCCTACATAGTACTTTCATTGCCTTAAAAACCCTCAGTGTTCCACCTGCTTATCCTTCCTTTCCCTGAACCCTTGCCAACTACTGATCTTTTCTTAGACTCCACAATTTGTAGTCTCCATGGTTTTACCTTTTCCAGAACGTCATATGGTTAGACTCATACAGTATGTAGCTTTTCAGATTGACTTCTTTAACTTAGTCATATGAATTTAAGGTAACTCCATGTTTTATCATGGCTGATAGCTCTCTTTTTTTTTTTTTTTTTTAAATCCTTAAATTATACTCTGGTCTGGATATACAGTTTATCCACTTACCACCTAAGGGGCATCTTGGTTGCCTCCAGTTATGAACTGAGGTATAACCTTAGTTTAAAACATCCAGTCTTGCTGGATTTGCCAGGCACTTAGTTCTGTCTCTGCATTTACACCTTAGAGCTGCTGTATAAGGGGGTTCCTGATCTCATCTTCCACTTAAGTATGTAAAATAAAAGAAATCTGCTCAGGTTTACACAGGAAACCAAGCATCAGAAATGTTAGCCATTCTGTTGAGTAAAAGTGACAGATAAGAAGATATATCTCTCAGTGCTGTCCCTCTCAGTGAAGGTCGGTTTTAAGATTGAGACGACACGTGCTTGGTGTTGTAGGAGGTGGTGACGTTCAAGGATGTGGCGGTGGTCTTCACCGAGGAGGAACTGGGGCTGCTGGACCCCTCCCAGAGGAAGCTGTACCGAGACGTGATGCTAGAGAACTTCAGGAACCTGGTTTCTGTGGGTGAGGACACGAGCCCTCTGTAACTGAATGTTAGTTCCAAGAATGGGTTCATATCCTTGGGTTTTCAAGGTTTTAGGGCGCTTGAACTGGTTCTCTGAGTTTGGGGATCTGACTTCCCTAATATATGTGGGACTCGCAGAGAGCATTGTTTTTTTACCAACAGGTAGATCTTTGTTTTGTTGAAGAAATGTAAATGGATAGTATACAGCTCTACCTTACCTATTTCTGATCCTATCATGAGTTATAAAACTAGTACAATGAGTCCTGTTAGCAACTTTTAATGAAATAAACAAATTAGTTAATAGCAATCCTCCTCACACTCTTCTGAAAAAATCAAAGAAGAGTAAGTACTTCCTAACTGATTCTGTATACGTGTAGGAGACTTGGCAAATGATATTTCTTCCAACGGGTCATGAAAACAAATGTTTGATAAACATTGCTTCTGGTTGCTTGAAGAATATGAAGTAGGAACCCCGTTTTCCAGTGAATCTTATCTAGAACGTGTTGACTTTAAGCATATGACTTTGTGTGCTCCCAGGGCATCAACCATCCAAACGAGACGGAGTCCACTTGGTAAGAGAAGAAAAGTTTTGGATGATGAAGTTAGCAACCCAAAGAAAAGGCATTTCAGGTAAGAACCAGGAAGCCGTGAGTCTTGGAGGCAACTCTCCGGTCTGTTTGACATTTCTCCGTGCTTATTTCGATCACCTTGTTCTAAATTGCCAAACCTCTTTCCTGGATTATCACAACAGCCTCTGTGTGGGTTGTCCTGCTCCCACCCTTCCCATCCTACATCTGTTTTCCACAGAGTAGCCAAAGGGATCCTTAGGTAATGTAATTGACATTGCCATTCCTCTGGTCAAAATCCATTATGGCTGGGCACCTGGGTGGCTCAGTCGGCTAAGCGTCTACCTCTCAGGTCATGGTCTCAGTGTCCTGGGATTGAGCCCCATGTTGGGCTCCCTGCTCAGTCGGGAGTCTGCTTCTCCCTCTCCCTCTGCCCACCCCCACCACCACCACTTATGCTCCGTCTCTCTCTCTCTGTCTCTCAAATCAATAAATAAAATCTTAAAAAAAAAAAAAATCCATTATGGCTTCTTTTTTTCCCCCTGCCCTACAGTGAAAACCACTTAAAGTGGCTCCTGGATTCCCCCGGAGTCTGCTCTGCATCCCCAATCCCTCTTGTTTGAATACATCTTCTGTCCTCTCTCTCTTATTCCATTTTTATTTTTCTTCCAAGGTTTTTGTGTTTTGTTTTGTTTTTTAATTTTTAAGTTATCTCTACAACCACCATGGGGCTTGAACTTACAATCTCAAGATCAAGAGTTGCAGCCAGCCAGGTGCCCCTCTCGCTCCATTTTTCCACCCGTGTTCCCCCTGCTGTTACTCAAACCTGCCAAGGATACTGTACATTGCCTATTGCTGCCGTATCAAATTACTATGAATATAGCAGACTAAACAATAAACTTTTAGTGTGTTTTTGTCGTTCAGGTATGAACTCTAACATATCTCACTGGGATAATACCAAGGTGTCTACAAGGCTGCATTCCTTCCTGTCTCCTACCTTTCCGGACCCTTACGATGACATTGCTTCCTCCCAGACAATCCAGAATGTTCTTTCTGTTTTTCTGATCAGCTGATTAGCACCTTTCATTGCCTCTGCAACCCAATTAACATAACATAACATGTTCACAGGTTCTGGGGATTGGACTGGACATCTTCCAGGAACCATTGTTAAGTCTGTTACAGAAGCTTCTCCCTCGGGCTCCTTTACTTCTTCATTCTGCCAGGAATATTCTTTCACCAAAAATCTTACTGGTTCTTCTCTTTCTCGTCCAGGTCTCTGCTGGGTTTTAATACCATGCATGACGCAGGCCTTCTAACCATTCTGTGTAGAATACAATGCTGTTGTCACTCCTCTTGCCTTCTGTTGTGTCTCCCATGCTTTTGTTTACCTCTCACTTCTCTCTCCCCAGTGGGTATAATCTGCAGGAGGAGAATTTTAATTGTTTTGATTACTGATGTGTCCTCAGTGCCTAGGCCAGCAGATGGATGCAGCAGATACCTATAAATATTTATTCACTTTGCGAATGAATTCATGGATAAGAGAATTTAACTGTATTTCTTGCTATTGGTGATGCAGAACAGTTTATTTTTCTGGATGCTTATTATAGGCTTTTATTTTTATTTATTTTTTATAATTTTTTTAATTAGCATATAATGCATTATTAGCCCCAGAGGTACAGGTCTCTGTTATTACAGGCTTTTAAATTTATTTCACAGCTCACTAAAAGTCTTTAGTTTGCACCTTGAAAAAATGGATGCAAAAAAGACCAGGTTATTTATGTGCCAAGTTTTCCCACCCTGTTTTCAAAGAAACAGCCCAGAAGCCTTGTAAGAAAACAGGACATAGTTTTCCTTTTCACCACTCCATGACTCATGGCAACAGCTAATAAGTGACCATAAACCAGAGTGAATTGAAGATATTGAGGAATATTTCTTGTCTTCAAATGGCTGCCTATATAATTTCTACTTATTTAGATGACTTGGAGTGTGGTTTGTGTTTCTGTACAAGCACTTGACCCAGCTCCCAAGGACTCCTCCAAGCACTGTGGTTGTGACCGCACCAGGGAACATCCTTTCCCTGTGGCTTTCCTTTTGTAGTCATTTCTGGGAAGAAAAACTTTTTTTTTTTTAACATTTTAATTCCAGTTAGTTAACATACAGTGTTACATTAGTTTCAGGTGTACAGTATAGTGATTCAGCACTTCCGTACATCACTCAGTGCTCATCACAAGGGCCCTCCTTAGTCCCCATCACCCATTTCACCCCCCTCCACCTCCCCTCTGGTCACCAAAATTTCTCTGTAGTTTCTTGGTTTGTCTCTTTTTGGTTTTTTTTCCCCTTTGCTCTTTTGTCTTCTTTCTTCAGTTCCGTGTATGAGTGAAATCATATGGTACTTGTCTTTCTCTGACTTATTTTACTTAGCATTATACTCTCTAGATCCATTCATGTCATTGCAAATGGCAAGATTTCATTCTTTTTGGTGGCAGAATAATATTCCATTGTATATATCTATCCACGACATCTTCTTTATCTGTTCCTTGATCGATGGACACTTGGGCTGCTTCCAGGGATGCCTGTATCCCTTTGAATCAGTGTTTTACTATTCTTTGGGTAAATACCCAATACTGCAGTTGCTGGGTGGTAGTATAGTTGTATTTTTAACTTTTTCAGGAACCTCCATACTATTTTCCACAGTGACTGCACCAGTTTGCATTCCTACCAACAGTGCGAATAGGGTTCCTTTTTCTCCACATCCTCACTGGCACTTGTTTCTTGTGTTTTTGATTTTAGCCATTCTGACAGGTTGTTTTGAAAGGGATTGCATTAAATGTGTAGATTGCTTTGGGCAATATAGCACTTTAACAATATTTGTTCTTCCAATCTGTGAGCATGGGATGTCTTTTTCCATTTCTTTGCATCATCTTCAGTTTCTTTTATCAATGTTTTATAGTTTTCAGAGTACAGGTCTTTCACCTCTTCGGTTAGCTTTATTCCTAGGTATCTCATTATTTTTGGTGCAATTGTAAATGGAATTGATTCCTTAATTTCTAATTCTGCTGCTTCATTATTGGTGTGTAGAGACACAACACATTTCTGTACATTGATTTTGTATCCTGTGACTTTACTGAATTAATTTAATTCAGTAAATTTAATTAATATCAGTTCTAGCGTTTTTTTGGTGGAGACATTCAGGTTTTCTATATGTAGTATCATGTCATCTGGAAATGGCAAATGTTTTACTTCTTCCTTACGAGTTTGGGTGCCTTTTATTTCTTTTTGTTACTTCCTGAAGCTAGGACTTACAGTACTATGTTAAATAATAGTGGTGGGAGTGGATATTCCTGTCTTATTCTGACTGTAGAGAAAAAGCTCTCAGGTTTTTCCCTTTGTGGATGATGTTACCTGTGGTTTTTTCGTATATGGCCTTTATGTTGCCTTTAAGCCTACTTTTTGAGGGTTTTTACCATGAGTGGATGTTGTACTTTGTCAGATGCTTTTTCCACATCTATTCAGACAATGATATGGTTCTTATCCTTTCTCTTATTGATGTGATGTACCACGTTGAATGATTTGCAAATATTGAACCACCCTGGCAACCCCAGAATAAATCCCACTTGATTGTGGTGAATGATTTGTTTAATGTGTTGTCAGATTTGCTGGTATTTTGTTTAGGATTTTTGCATCTGTGTTGATCAAAGATATTGACCTGTAGTTCTCTCTCTCTCTCTCTCTTTTTTTTTTTTTTGGGTGGTGTGTTTATCTGGTTTTGGTGTCAGGGTAATACTGTCCTCATAGAATGAATTTGGAAGTTTTCTTCCCTTTTCTATTTTTTTGGGGGATAGTATGGTTTGGCAGAATTCACCTGTGAAGCCATTTGGTGCTAGACTTTGATTTGTTGGGACTTTTTAGGTCACTGATTCAATTTCTTTGCTGATAATTGGTCTATTCGAATGTTCTATTTCTTCCTTTTTCAGTTTTGGTAGGTTATATATTCCTAGGGATTTATCCATTTTCTTCTAAACTGTCCAATTTGTTGGCATGTAGTTTTTCATAATACTCTCTTGTAATTATTTGTATTTCTGTGGTTGTTTATTTCTCTTCTGTCATTCTTGATTGTATTCACTTGAGTCCTTTCTCTTTTTCTCCTTGTAAGTCTAGCTAGAGCTTACTTAGTTTTAATGATTTTTTTCCCAAAGAATCAGTTCTTGACTTCATTAATCTATTGTTTCTGTATCATTTACTTCTCTAATCTGTATCACTTTCTTCTGCTGGTTTTAGGTTTTGTTTGTTGTTCTTTTTCTAGGTCCTTTTGGTATGAAGTTAGGTTGTTTGAGATTTTTCTTCTTGAGGTCAGCCTGTAGTGCTATTAAACTTCCCTCTTAGAACTGCTTTTTCTGGGCATATGGGTGGCTCAGTCAGTTAAGCACCTGCCTTTGGCTCAGATGGTCATTCCAGCAACCTGGGATTGAGTCCCACATGGGCTCCCTGCTAAGTGGGGAGCCTGCCTCTCCCTTTCCTTCTGCCCCTACCCCCACTTGTGCTTGCTCGCTCGCTCTCTCTCTCTCAAATAAATAAATAAATAAAATCTTTTAAAAAATGAACCACTTTTTCTGCATCCCAAAGGTTTTGGACTGTTGTGTTTTCATTTATTTCCATGTACTTTTTATTTCTTCTTGTATTTCTTGGTTGGTCCATTAATTATGTACTAGCATGTTATTTAATATGCATGTATTTGTGGTCTTTCCAGATTTTTTTCTTGTGGTTGACCTCTAGTTTCATATCATCGTGCTCAGAAAAGATGCATTATATGACTTTGATCTTTTTAATTTGTCGATGCTTGTTTTGTGGCCTAATATGTGATCTGTTCTGGACAGTGTTCCATGTACACTTGAAAGAATGTGTATTCTGCTGTTTTAGGATGTTCTTAGTATGTCTGTTTTTTTGGTTTTTTTTTACCTTAATATGTCTTTTAAATCCATCTGTCCCAGTGAGTCATTCAAAGCCATTGTTTCCTTGTTTATTTTCTGTTTAGATGATGTGTCCATTGATGTAAGTGAGGTGTTAAAGTCCCCTGCTATTTTTTTTTAAGATTTTTATTTATGTATTTGAGAGAGAGAGTGTGTGTGTGCAAAAGCAGGCAGAGGCACAGAGGAAGAGGAAGAAGCAGGCTCCCCGCTGAGCAGGGAGCCTGATGCAGGACTTGATCCCAGGGTTGACCTGATCCAAAGGCAGAAGCTTAATTGACTGAGCCACCAAATGCCCCAAAGAAAACTATTTTAAAGGGATAGTTTATTAAATACAACCATAAACTAGTATCTACCAAGAGGTACACACTCACCTGTTGGTAATTTTCCAAGTTTTTACCCTTAGAACTTCTTTACATTTGAACAAATAGTTTAATGAAAGACTTGCTGAGTTCCTGAACTAAGTTTTCAGACCTTTTAGAACACAAGCCCTACTAGGAAATACTTCTTTTAGTGTATCCAAAAGAAATATTGGGGAACCTGGGTGGCTCAGTCAGTTAAGCAGCTGCCTTTGGCTCAGGTCATGATCCCAGGATCCCGGGATCGAGCCCCACATCAGACCCCTTGCTCAGTGGGGAGCCTGCTTCTCCCTGGCCTGCCATTCCCCCTACTGGTGCTTGCTCTCGCTCACTCTCTCTGTCAAATAAATAAACAAAATCTAAAAAAAAAAAAAAAAAAAAAATTCATGCGTATGTAGATTTATACGGATGACTTTGTAAGACAGTTCATGGAGTCACTCCACTCCTGTGAGTAATGATGCTCAGATAGTTACTGTCCCTTTTTCCTAAATGCTTATTGTATGATTCTAAATTTATTTTACAGCTGACTAAAAGGCTACAGTTTTCAATTAGAAAGACTGTGGTGAAAGCCTAATTTATCTACATTCAAAGATTTCTCACACTCTGTTTTGAATCAGAGACTCCAGAAGCCTCAGAAGAAACCAGTTCATAAACTCCATATAGTTTTTTCACCCCTCCTGGTTCTTGTCACCTTTGATTCTTTAATCAGGAACACCGCCCTCCTTGTGGGTATTCTGACTTCACAGCAAAACTACAGTTTCCTCTCCCTTTTTAATTTCAGCTCGGGTCATGATCCCAGCATCCTGGGATCGAGTCCCACATTGGGTTCCTTGCTCGGCAGAAAGCCTGCTTCTCCCTCTGCCTGCAGTTCCCCCTGCTTGTGCTCTTGCTTTCTCTCTCTGGAAATAAATGAATAAAATGTTAATTTCAGATATCTTAATTTTCTGTGTGTATTAACACAGGAAAATAAGATGAATTACACACATTGTGTAGAATTTGCAGAAATACTTAGAATATATATCTATAATCAGTTCTAGGTGCTTGATACATAGGATTGCAAATTGTTTAAGCAACTACAAAGTTTAGAGGGAAAGTTTACATGGATCTCCTGGCACTCAACACCAACTACAGGTTTGAGAGGATCCCAAAATTGCCTTCAGATTGAATCATTTTCTAAAAGGACTGGTAGAATTCACTGAATACTGTTTTACTCACAGCTGGCATTTATTATAGGGAAGGGTACACCTTACACTCAAGCAAGAGAAAAAATACTTGAGAGGGAGTTTAGGGACGTGCCAGATGCAGAGTTTCCTTTCCATTGGGTCAGGGGTGTGTTATTATGTTACTTTGCAAAATGAAGGTGTACAGTTAATACACAGGATGTTACCAATTAGGGAAACTCACCTGATCCTGTGTCCAGAGTAATTATTGGAGCTCTGTCATTTGACCAGTATAGACTGAATGGTTTCATATGGTTTTTCTCAGTCCCTTGGTTCACACCACCAGGTGATTGAAAGCCCCACCTAAAATCATAGTCTTGGTGTTTCTGCTGTGGTCCGTCTCATCCCTAAATCATATTGTTAAACTGCCTAATGTGATCAAAGACCCTACGGCACTCCTTTGAGGCATGACATGCCAGGGGCTTAGAACTGTCTGTCACATGTTGAGGACAAAGGCCTTCACTGTGTATATAATTTACTTGCCCCATAATTTACTATTTAAGAGTTTACTTCTGTGCTCAATTAGTTGTGTCTGACTCAGTATCAGCTCAGGTCTTGATTTCAGGGTGGTGAGTTCAAGCCATGCTGGGCATGGAGCTTTTTTTTTTTTTTTTTTTTTTTTTTAATATGTGTTTACACTGACTTATGAAATTCAATAGAAACAGCAAAATTGACCTGTATCATGATCATTTTTGTTATTAAATCTTTGATTTCTAATTTGTCTATCACATATGAGGCTTAGAGTGATTCTGAATTTGTTTCATTGATGCTTAGTGCATAGGAGCCTACTGGACTACCTCTTGGTTTGTGTAGGCATTTAAACCAGAGACCGTGATATACACTAGAAGGATGTAGGGATTCTGTCCTGGATTCATTAAAGTCCCATGCTCTTTGCCAACTGCTAAATGGTTGAAGACATTGAACAAAGCTTTCATTTGTCCACATCTGCATTCTCTGTCATTTTAGGATACAAAGTCCAACATGAGATGGAGACTATTGCTAAAGCAGAACCACATGAAGAATTTTCATCCTGGCAAATCTGGCAACAGATTGCTAAAGACTTAGCCCGGTATCAAGACTCCATGATAAAGAGTTCTCAATTCTACAAACAACATGATTTCCCTGGCCAGGTTGGGGCAGGACTGCCTATAACTCACTCAGGCCAGAAAACTTACCAGGGAAATGGGTGTAAAAAATTCTTCAGTGATATCTCCAACTGTGATCTTCAACAGTTAAACACGGGAGAGAAGTCTCATACATGTCATGAGTGTGGGAAATGCTTCTTTTATAGCTCAGCGCTTCGTATTCATCAGAGAGTTCACCTGGGAGAGAAGCAGTATCGGTGTGATGAATGCGGTAAGGAATTCAGTCAGAGCTCACATCTGCAAACTCATCAGAAAGTCCACACCATAGGGAAGCCATTCAAATGTGAAGAATGTGGGAAAGGCTTCAGTCGTAGATCAGAACTTAGTAATCATTGCAGGTTACACTCAGGAGAGAAACTTTATAAGTGTAAGGGATGCGGGAAGGCCTTCATTAATGCTTGTCATCTTCAGGACCATCAGAGAATCCACACTGGGGAGAAGCCATTTAAGTGTGATATCTGTGGTAAGAGTTTTCGTCGTAGATCGGCACTTAATAGTCATTGTGTAGTCCACACAGGAGAAAAACCATACAGATGTGAGGATTGTGGGAAGTCCTATACTTGGCGTTCACGTCTTCGTATCCATAAGAAAGTCCACATGGGACAGAAGCCACACAAATGTGAGGAATGCGGAAAGAGCTTCTTTTCTAGAACACATCTTTATTACCACCGGAGGTTCCACACAGAGGAGAAACCCTATCATTGTAAAGAATGTGGGAAGAGCTTCAGATGGGTCTCCCCTCTTTTGACACATCAGCGAGTCCACAGTGGAGAAAAACCATTCAAATGTGAAGAGTGTGGGAAGGGATTTGGTCAGAAATCATGCCTGCAAGCTCATCAGAAAGTCCACACCAGAGAAAAACCATACAAATGTGAGGAGTGTGGGAAGGGCTACAAGACAAGCTTGGATCTTGATGTGCACCAGAGTGTGCATATGGGAGAGAACCCATATACCTGTAGGGCATGTGGTAAGCACTTCACTAGGACCTCAAATCTTAAAGTTCATCAGAGAGTCCACACTGGGGAGAAACCATACAAATGTAATGTGTGTGGTAAGGTCTTCAGTCAATCTGGACATCTAAAGTCTCATCAGAGAGTTCACACAGGGGAGAAACCTTACAAGTGTAAGATATGTGGTAAGCAGTTCAGTTCAAGTTCATATGTTAAAATTCATCACAGAATCCATGCTGGTGATAAATTTCATCCAGTCTCATAGGAAAACAGTAAAGTGAATGTTTCATCCATAGCTGAATATATCTCCGTGATCTCAAGATCACACAAATGGTGCAATGAGGGCTTTAGTTAAGGCCTTAGCAGTTGAAGTTATCACTCAAGAAACAGGCTGTTGAAATCATCTTTCCTTAATCACTTAACCAAACTCTAATGGATATTAAAATTGGTGTCTCTTGGAATATAATCTTCATAACAAGAAGTTTATTTGCTGCTGAATTTATATAATAAACATGGAGTAGCACTCTGTATGTGCACTTGGTACTTGTTTGTTAAATGAATCAAAGGGAAGAGAGAGAATTAGGGATGATGGCAGAGTAGGAGGACCCTAAGCTTGCCTCCTTTCATAGATACAGCTAGACAACACATCAGTGTAAGTGACCCAGAAATCGACCTGAAGCCTGGCATAACAAACTCATGAGCTAAAGGTAGAGAAGAGGCAATATCAAAGAAGGCAGGCAGGGCAAAGATGCAGTTTGAGAGTGAAACAGAGTGTGTCCATCTGTGGTTGGGACAGAGCCAGTGGTGGGGAGAAGGCAAAAAACATCACAGGGAAGATAAATCCCCGTAACATTTGGCTTTGAAAGTGAGAGGGGCCAAATTCCATGAGTTCTTACAACCAGTGGGACTTAAAAGCCTGGATTTTCAGTTTCTGTGGGCTGGGCTCTAGGAGAGCATGGCAACCAACCAATGGAGATATAGCCAGGAGTCAGCAGTTTGAAAACGTCAGGGGCAGACGGGAGACAAAGTGACTTAATTCATCTCAGAGCATGGCCTGGAGAGGCAGAGATCATGGGGACGCCCCTCCAGGAACAAAGGAGCTGGTAGGTACCATTTCCCTCCCAGCCCCCCAGCATAAACACATGGCCACCTGCTTACAAGTTAGGTAAGGAGCAGCGCCAACACTCCTTACCTAACTTGCTTACGCCAAGCCCTGCCCCCTGTGGTCCAGTGGATCTGCCTTTCCCAGGCACACGTCCTTCAGTCCTGGCACTGCAAGCCCCTTCCCCTGGGAGAGTAGAGCAAATTCCACTAACACCTCGTCTCCCGACCTGCATGTTTTATGGGACGTCACATCCAGAGGTGGCAGTGGCAGCAGGTCTCATTTCACATGTAGACCAACCCACATTAGGATGTACCTCAGCCAGCTGAAGACCAAACACTGCCCACAACAGGCAAAGGGAGCCTCCGCAGATGACCAGACTGAAGGAAAAGGCAGCCAGAACACAACAGCAGGCATAGGCAACACACTTAGGAGACATGCCCTGAAGCGACAGTTCCCAGGGAACAGAAGACTCCATGAGGCCATTACCTCCAAGAGCCAAGAGATGTTAGTAACTGACTTTAATAAGATACAGAAATAGAGACAAAATGAGGAGAGTGGGCATATCCCCCAAATGAAAAACGACCAAACCACAGCAAAAGACCAAAGTAGATGTAAGTAATATGCCAGATAGAGAATGTAATGTAATGTTCATAAAGATACTGGACTTGAGAAGAGTGGAAGACATCAGTGAGACCCTACCACAGAGATTAAAAAGACCCAATCAGAGATGAACACAATAAATTAAAACACTTGATGGCATAAATAGGTTAGATGGCACAGAGGAATGATTAATGATCTACAAGACAGAGAAATGAAAAGTAATCAAGCTGAGCAAATGAGAGGGGAAAATTATGCAAATTGAGGATAGTCTTAGGGAACTCTGACTCCATCAAGCAAAATAGCATTTGCATTGAAGGGATCCCACAAGAGAGAGAAAAGGGAGCAAAAAGTTTATATGAAGAAATAGCTGAAAACTTCCTTTTTGTAGGGAAGGAAACATAGCCAGATCCAGGAGGCACAGAGAACACTCCAAAAATCAGCCCAGGAAGGTCCAAACCAAGACACATAGTTCTGAAAATGGCAGAGAGTAGTGATAAAGGGAGATAAAAGGAAACCAGCAAAAAAAAAAAAATCAGAGAAACAAATCGGAATTGAAATCCAGAAATCCACAGCACTGCATTCCACAGCATTATTTTGATAGTATCCTATTGCGTTTGGCTCCTGGCATAACCTTTGCCTCTATCTGTGGTTGGTTATTTTCTGGGTCTTGATGTCATGTTCCATCGGTTTGTACAGTAGAAATTCAACTCTTTTGTGGTTTTTCTCATTCAATTTTAACTTTGCAGTAACTGGCCATTGCACATAGCTTAATTGGACTTTCTCAACAATGTTAAGGCAAGGGTTCAAAGTAACAGAAGTGTCAGATTTAGTAATGATAAAGTTTTCTTAATTTTGAGTTCATCATTGATTTTCAAATTTCTGCATTTCTACGTTTGATCTTAGCCAAAAGGCCTAGAAGCGATCAAATTTCTGCATTTCTGTGTGATCTTTTATATAATTGCCTTCTAATTGTAGCATTTTTAAAAAGTCAAACTTCTCTGGTAGAAGCTATGCCAAATTTGAAGGACATTTAGCATATCAGCTTCCCATATTCTCCCTCATCCCCGTGAAATAAATAATAGGAAAAATTGGGGATTTGGTGCTTTCGTCAGATATATTAATTACTGGTACAGAAATGACAGTTAATGTGTTTTTCTTGCTTGGTGACAATACATATCTTTTGAAAAGCAGTATATAGCAGAATGTGAACATGTAACTGTGACCTGGAAATCAAACTAGGAACATATGATTATGAGAGTCAAACAATGAAAAGATGAAAACCACATCAATAATACCGCAGTTTTTAAAATGGAAATAATAAATGTTCACAATAAGAATTTGTTTAAATTTCATATGTTCCCATAATAACATGGGGCCATTAAAGTAATGGACATGTAATATCAGGAGAACATAATACAGGCTTTGTGAAATCAGACCATACCCTTCATAGTATAATAAAATTCATAACTCTCTCGTGTGTATGTGTGTGTTTTGTGTATATCCATATAGAATGTGGAAGTTGATACTCAGTAATATTCTCTGGCAAGGAGTATCCAGCAGACTCCACACTAGAACGCAGAGCCAAACGCAGAGCTTGATCCCATGACCCTGAGATCATGACCTGAGCTGAAACTCAGAGTTGGACACTTAACTGACTAAGCCACCCAGGTGCCCCTCTATTATGTTTTTATTTCTCAACATCAGTTTGATCAAACTAGTAAATTATGTGCAATAGTATTTGAAAAATTATTTATATGAGCCCCTTACAGTTAAAGTCACCTAAATTAAGATTGCTTTACATTATATGACAGATAAGATCAAAATTAACGAACAGGACTCAAGCAGTATTCAAAAACAAATTTTTGCTTTGAATACAGCAATAAAGTAATGATTAGGATCAACCGTCTTTGTAGTTAATGCACAAGATGCGTCTTGAGGCGTAAGCCAGGGAGCAGAAACAAATACTGGAGGTAGTAGTAACATGGTTATATCGTGGGGGTTAAAAGAAATGATTTGAAGAAAAAATCCATGGGTAGAGATCATAGCATAGTAGCCAAACCTCTAAGAAGAAAGAGCAGTTTTGTATGCCTTTCCACACTTCTTGGACACCATGGTGATATTTTAAGTGTATTGACTAAAGGGCTTTACTTACAAAGTATATCTAGTAGATTTATTTTTTTTTAAGTTTTTTATTTTTTCGAGAGAGAGAGAACATGAGAGGAGAGAGGCTCTTACCAGTAATGAAATGGAGTTAAGTCTTCGCAAATCCATGTTCCCTGACACCAGCCAAATCCAGGCTTGCAAGCAGGCCTAAGCAAGGATCCCTGTCTCAGAACTGCTATATTAACTTTCCTCTGTACATGGTCTACAGAGATCTATGGCCCATAATTTTTTTCTCCTTTTAAAATGTCATTGAATACTAGTAAGTCATCACCAAGGTAGTTATTTGTAACAAATCTCACCAGATTAAGCCAAAAGTACTTAACTCGTAAAACCGAAAAGACTACAGGTGGGGCTTACACCTAACCTGCTTTGCAGGGGTCCTCAAGGTGGTCCCAGGTAGTGACAACCTGAGACTGGCTGTCTTGTGTTCACGTTCATGTCTCCCAAAGTGGGAGGCCGAGCCTCCCAACCACAATCAGTAGTAAATGCTTAGATTTGTATCTAGTTCCACAGCTTTTGTGAGATCATCCAGCTTCACTCCCACTTGTCACCATGGACTTCACTTTTCTTATGTGGTCCCTATGGATTTCCTTATCTTAGCTTTGAACTTACCTACATTTGATGGGGATTGTTTGAGGTCATTATCCTTTCTCATAATAGAAAGGTCATTATCCTTTCTCATCATAGATGTCATTAACATCTAACCATATTGGTAGGATATCCATTTAAAGACCTGAGTCCAGTACAACAATATCTCCTGTTTATTTGACACACTGTGACTGATTCTAAAGTTATCAGAACGTCTGCCTTATTCATCTGGAGACTGACATTTTGTTACATATGCCATGTCTTACCACAAATTATTTAATTCTTGAAAGATTTGTTTAAAGTATAAATACTTTCATATTTTTTTACTGACAGGAATAATGCCTGGACATTGCAAAGAAGCACAGCAATAGAGGAAACTCGAAAGAATAAAGTGGAAAGTAGTAGGAACTCACCACTATTAATATTTTGATGAGCATTCTTCAATACCTCTAGGCATACAAGTAAGAGTTATATAGAATTTTCTAAACTAAGAACGTAATGCATACTATTTTCTTTCCCTTTTAAAAATATTTTATTTATTTATTTGACAGAGATCACAAGTAGGCAGAGAGGCAGGCAGAGAGAGAGGAGGAAGCAGGCTCCCTGCTGAGCAGAGAGCCCAATGTGGGGCTCGATCCCAGGACCCTGGGATCATGACCTGAGCCAAAGGCAGAGACTTTAACCCACTGAGCCACGCAGGTCCCCCAATGCATACTATTTTCTAATTAGAGTTTTTCACTAAATTGAAACAATTCTTGAAGGTCACTTCAATAAATTGACCTACAACCTCATTTCTAGTACCTACACAGTATTCCGTAGACAGGGCAGCAGGCAGAGAGAAAAGCAGGCTTCCTGCTGAGCAGAGAGCCTGGGATGGGGCTTGATCCCAGGACCTTGGGATCATGACCCAAGCCTAAGGCAGCTGCTTAGCTGACTGAGCCACCCAGGCACCCCTAGAGAAACAGAATGTTTAGAATAAATTTTCTGAATTGTGTTTTCTAGAACTGGTTCTTGAATCTTAATAGATTCAAAGGCACTAATGACTCTATTTCCAATGCAAAATAGGACACTTGCCATGGTGTGACATAACAAACATATATGAAATATATGAAATACACATTCGATACTCTTAAGGAAATAACTGTTGAAGACCTCAAAACATATCAGTCACACTAAAGAGTATAAGGGGTTTGCTCCTAACTATGTTGGACAAAGCGGGGGGAAAAAAGAGCACACGACTTCAAATTCCAGCTCAACTATTAATGACTTGAATGTTTCAAGTCATTATGCACTGGCTTCTTGAACTTTCCTTGCACATTGAAATAAAGTTCTCAGACACCAATCTGAGTGGCCATGCAGTCTG